ATATTTCTATTCTGTATATAGTACATTATTTAATTCAGTTTTTTTTTTTCTTATATGAGTGATATATTCCATTCCTACTGTGTTATTCCTATGTATGTCTACACAATGTCTGTACTTTCTTCTGCACTGGAAGCTCCTGTCGTCAAGTCAAATTCCTTGTGTGTGTAAACATACTTGGTAATAAAGCTCTTCTGATTCTAATTCTGAAATGTTTTTCTGGGTTAATGTGAGTCTTACTATATGCATCCTGTCACTCTCTTTGATTTTCTTTCTGTCTGTATCACCCTGCCTCTAATTCACATGAAGTTGTTACGCCAGCCTTTTAGCACGACTTCTTTATGCAAGAGTGAAGCCAGAAGATACGAGAGAACTGTCATTTCCAGACAGGCACTTAGCACAACATCCATTCCTTCTCGCAAAGGGCCCTTGATAAAGGGCAATGCAAACCTTTGTTTTCTTTAAGCCCAAACAAAAGTGCCAGCTAGCCAAGCGATAAGCTCATGTCAGTAGTGGTCACGCTAAAAGCACACGTTAAATATTTGGCTGGCGGAGTATAAACATGCAGTGCTTTTAGTCGCTTCATTTGAAGGCTATCTTCAGTAAGGTTTTAATTAAGACTGTGTGTGCCCATTCAACTTCAAACTTTGTTGGACAAAGTATGTACTGAAGAGAGGTGCCCTGAATAGGCTGATGGATTTAGATGACAAAATTAAGGACTATATATTTGCAAATGTGAAGGTGTTTCCTGTGCTAATCTCACAGGCACAACAGGTTGTTGTGGTTGATTGTCAATATTTTGATAATTGGTTGCCTAAGGTGTTCTGATTGGTTAAGCACAGTGTATTTTAGTATTATCTGTATACTATTATAGTATTATTTGTTAATAATTTTGAATCAGATTTCATGTTTATACATTTTAGTTTTAATTTTTAGTAAAGTTTTAGTAGCTTTATGTGATTTTGTTATGTTTAGTACTTTGTTTCTTAATATTCCTATTTAGCTTCAATTTATTTTTCAGTATATTTTAAAATTAGTTTTATACTATTATAGTATTTATTAATTTGTTTAATTAGATTTAAAAAATTTTTTTGCCTAAGTATTATTTTTTAGCCTAGTTTAGTTTTAGTAATTTTGTTATGTGCTATTTTATGTTTAGTACTTTGTTTTAAAAAAAATTTAGTTTTAATTTATTTTCCAGTTTTAGTACTTTAACATCAACATATTTTATTATTTATTATTACAGTATAATGTGAATTATCTTTTGATTTTATAGTTTGTTTTAATTTTCATTTTAGTTGTAGTAATTTTATGCGCTTTTATGTTTATTGCTTTTTGGTCATTTATTTTTAATTTTTATTTAGCTTTATATTTATTTTAAATATAGTACTTTTAAAATAATTAATTTTAGTGTTGTTTATATACCATTATAGTATTTAGTATTTTGATATGTGCTTTTGTTTATTAGCTTTTGATTTGTTTTATATTACCATTTAGCTTTATTTTTTGTTTCAGTTTTAGTCATTTTAGTACTTCAGATTAAACTTCAATTAAAATCAGCAGCACATATTGCCTTTGCATAAACAGCTATGTGCCAGTGCTTCAAAGTTCAAGTTGTTTCAAACCACTACTAATTATGAGCACTTGTAATAATGATTTTTACTTAGCAACAGCACTAATGATATTGTGGCTCAGTGAGATTACACTTAATGAATTTACGACAGCAATAAAGAGTTTTAATTTTCTGCAATGCCACAATACATGGATGTATAACTTGTAATGTGTTGGTTATGTTACAGTATGAAGAAATAAATACAGAATGCTTGTGGTTAAATGGTGAAATTTGAGTCTTGAGTGAGTCACAGTCGTCTGTTTTACATTGAGTCTGACCTGCAGCACATACTGTATATCATATCACTACTGCTGCTTTCTGGTGAGGAATAACATATACCTCATATAAATATCAGAAAGACAATATTTTTCCTTCTCTCAGTTGGCCTTCCCTCATTTGCATCTGTGGTTGTTTGATTAGTCTTTCCCTGCTGGAAAACAGGAGGTGGATCAACATTACACTCTTCGGCTCTCACTCCTGTGGCTTTTTTTAATTTTCACCTTAGCTCAGGCCAGACAGAACAACACCTTACCTTAAATTTTAGCCGAGAGAGAGAGAGAACAAGAAGAACGTGGGTGGGTTTTTGAAGAAGAGATACAAACTGTATGGAGGCAGCGAGACAAAAATGAAATCGCAGAACATGAATACTGCAATTATATTGAAATGATTTAGATAATATAGTTCCTAACTGGTGGGTAGCAGCCTGCTGATGGAAGAGAAAACATTTTCCTTATCTTTTCCATCCAATCCCTGTGGGATTTTGGCAGAATTTTTGCAGTTAATTGTATATTTCAGTGTTTGGTCTAAGGGCATTTTTGGGCATGTCCAATGTGAAGTCTGGGACCTGATATAAACTATATTGATGCATATGCTGTATGGTGAACACAAAATGTCCAATGACTTTTTTTAAATTTTTTTGCTGAAGATGGTGAAACTACAAAATGCCTCAAAACGTTAAGCAAGGTTTATAATAATTGTCTAGACTTTAAACTCACATCTGATTGACTGAAGAGAAAATAAGTGCTAATTTGTAAACTGGTTCTTGAAAAGAGAGTCTCAAAATAGTCACAAATCCACACAACAAATGCCATTGTAGATTCAAAAAACTTTTGTACCTGAAATATTCAGAAATGTGCAACCATACTTTTGTGTTTATGAATGGTGCTTTGCATTTGTCTTATTTTGAGTCCTATTTTGTAAAAGTACATTTGCTTGTGCATTTTCAAATTGTACAGTATATTGGGAGTTTGTGAATTGCTAAATTTGGTTAATAAGATCTGTGTTTGCAAAAATATAAACTTTAAGAATACAAATTAGCATTGCATTTGTAAAACATATTTTGTAAATATATTCATTTTAGCTCCTTAATGTAATGCTGATAGTTCAACAAATATCCACTTTTTAATCATCATGAAGATCATGGTGCAGGTTGACAATGACTTCTTGAAAGGATGACGGTGTCATTATAGTGTTTTTTTGACCAATTTATGGGATAATTAAGTATTTTAGAAAGGGAAATCTGATCATAACGGTATTTCTGTTTTATACTGTGCCTATTTACTAAAATGACAAATGGAAACAAGCTAAAAATAACATCCTTATGAAAAATAGAAATAGAATAGAAAAAAAATGAAAAAAACACAAAGTTGCTCAATTTTGTTTAGAAAAATGTATAAACATAGCACAAGCTGCATCAGCTGCTCATTATTAAAGTTATTTTTTACACACTAACGGCGCTCGTTTTGTAGAATGACCCAGTTCACAATAATCAAATCTTTCAGGTTGTATAAGCTGCAGCACTCCGGTGTCCCTCCGGACAGAAATAAGCTCCTGACTCAGATATTATTCTTTATAACAGTCTAAGGACTGAGACAAACACACATTTCCTGCTCCATAAACAAGACCGCAGTCATTCTTGCTTGTGCCGTATATCTATATATCGTTACTAGTTAGACTCATGCAGCGCCAGCATGCTTTTTGCTGAGACTTATAGCTGATGCGGTGTGTTTGTATCGGCCCCTGGTGTTCCCCCGGTGTTCGGCTGCTCGTTTCTGTCCTACGAGTCAAATAACTCTGAATTGCTGAAGGAAAGGAGGTGTTTGCCTGTGCAAAAGTTGCCATAATGACGTTAGGGTGTTTTGGCACTGCCAGCCCAACCAACAAAAATATGGTCTAAGAATGTTTTGCTAATATTACCATTAAGGTTTTTAAAACATTACTTCTGAATGTTCAAAAGATTCAGTTTTTAGAAATAGTTTTCACTCATGTGAATGTTAAGTGAACATTTAATTTGATTATTTTGCAAACATCATGGAAATGTTACTTTTGAATGTTCCATGAATGTTTTGAAACAAGTAATAACATTTAAAAAATGTTAGATGAATACAACTTAAGTACTGCAGAAAAAAAACATTATCTTTCGTTCCTTTGTTTTTGTGCTAATGTCTTGAGAGCAGACCAGAACATTTTGAACAAACATTCTCTGTTCAATAAGTTGTTAATAAGTTGTTAACATGTTGCAATGCTGTAGATGCCACTCTACTTTTCTAAAGTCTCTATGATTTTAGTCTTCTTCAAAGTGTTTTTTTTTTTTTTACTCTGGTGAAAACTGTCCAGTTGAGAAGTGCTATATGCTATTGTTTAAGGTTATGGTATTGTTTATGACTTAAGGTTTAATTCATGTTGGTAGCACAAACTTTTGCAGTTCATGTTATGTGAAGTAAAATATGAAGTATCACAACTGTTTTCAACATCGATGATAATAAATATTTATTGAGCAGCAAATCAGCATATTAGAATGATTTCTGAAGGATCATGTGACACTGAAGACTGGAGTAATGATGCTGAAAATTCAGCTTTGCATTACAGAAATAAATTACATTTTAAAATGTATTCAGATAGAAAAAGTTATTTTAAGTGATAATATTTCACAGTTTTACAGTATTAAAAAAAATAAACTTTGTGAATTCTTTCACAAAGATCCAACCAGTATTGTATGTATCCGAGTTTAATACTTAAAGGGATAGTTTACCAAAAATGAAAATTCTGTCATCATTTGCTCAGCCTCGAGTTGTTCCAAATCTGTATGAGTTTCTTTCTTCTGCTGAACACAAAAGAAGATATTTTAAACAATATGGGTAACCAAACAGTTGATGGTCCCTATTGACTTCCATAGTATGAAAAAAACATACTATGGAAGTCAACGGGGACCATCAACTTATTTATGTTTAGAAGAAGAAAAACATTCATACAGGTTTAGAACAAATTGACAAACAACAACAACAAATTCTCATTTTTGGAATTATCCCTTCAAGGTTTGGGGTTTGTTAATAAATAATTGTGTTGCTGGACGTAAATGTGGATGAAAGTAGTTTTGATTAGTACAGATTCTCTTGCTTTTTTGTTACGTTTGCATTACAGAGGATCGTTTGGAAATGTTTAATTTCGTCACGAGGTGTGACAAAGGGTTAAACCCATCCTTTTTGTTTTGTCTTCAGTATCATCAGTCTTAAAATGCATCTAACGTTCTCCTCAGATCAGCAGAAGAGATACGAAGCTTCCCCCTCTGTGACCTTTCCTCCCGTTTCTCCCCTACAGACAGATCGTCAGTATGACGCCCACCAGGCCCACCGCTCCTCAAAGCCGCCCAAGGACTCCTACCTGGTGGAGCAGGTGTTCAGCCCACACCACCTCCCTCCCGCCGTCAAGTCTCACGTGAAGGGCAGCCCTCTCTACACGGACCTGCGGCTGACCGGCCTCGCTGACGGCAAGCGCTCCCAGCCCTCCTGGACCATTGAAGAGTACAAACGTAACTCAGGAGACAAGAACAAGCTCAGCGCTCTGGACCTGCAGGTGAGAGGCCACCTCGCTGTGATTGCAACCTTGCCAATCTTGTCGATTTTCTCTGTTCTTTGAGGCTTTGCTGTGTGTGGGATTAGCTTCAAAAGCTGAGGCTCATGGGAATGACGGCTTCGATTTTCTTTCAATCAGTGCTTCTCTGCCACATGCCGGCGGTGTGGCTGAAGGTCGTCAGTGCAGTAGGTGACCTTGTGTGCTGTGAAATATTCATGATCCTTATTAAAATCACTCATTGTTGACAGTCATTGGCTCAGTGCAATTACTGCAGGTCCTTGGCTTTGTTTCAATGCCAACATGAAATGCTGTTCGCAACCCAATTTGCTTCTGGAATCTGAAGTATTTCTGAGTGAAACTGCATGTTTGATGAGAATAAATGTAGTATGCAATATGATTGCGTTTTGATTTTTATTAATTATTTCAGTGAGTCAGTTGATCCAGTTTGAATGATTTGTTTACAATTTTGGATTGAATCAATCGGAGAGGTTCTTGAGTCAATGACTCGGTGACTCATTTAACTGAGGAACATTTAATATGGAAATTAGGTCATTTGTTTATGTGGATAATTTTGAGATACTTTGAAAAGCATGTAATTTTTAAGTTTTAATTAGTTTCGCCATTTTGTTGCATGGAAAGGAAGACGTTTCACTGACCTTGATTTCTCATGAGGAGCGAGAGAAGTAAAACGCTCCTTCTTGTGTTCAGTCTTAAAACATCCTAAAATACAGCTTGCAACCAAATTTGTTTCTGAAATCTGACGTATTTCTGAGTTAAACTGGATGTTCAATGGGAAAAAAAAGAAAAGAAATTTAGGCCAGGATTTGATTGCATTGTCCAAAAAATAAAATAAAATAAACTAAGTATTTAATTTAATCAGTAGAATGATTCAGTTGTTCATTAATTGGACTGAATCAGTCAAAGGTTCTTGAGTCAATAAATGACTGACTCATTTAACATAGAGCCACTTAATATGGACATTTGTTTGTGACAAAAATGTTTTTATTATATTTATCATATAGGTGAATAATAGAGATTACATTATATATGACATTAAATTAAATGTGTTCAAAAGAGCTGATGCAACACAAATTACAAGAAATTGCAGTAAAAATCCTTATTAAAAATTATATGCAGTAATTTGGATATACATATGGCTTTAGTGCAATATTTTATAGGGACAGACATGTAATATAAATCACTGATGTGAAAGAACAACGCTATCTCACGACCAATCCGTACGTATTTTATGTGGTGGCTAATTCGTATGAATTCGTACAACCTCACTCGTACGATTTTGTATGATTTGCCTAGACCCCTGTGACGGGTAGGCAATTCATACAAATTCATACGAATTGTGCAATTCGTAAAATACGATTTAGCAAAAATCTAATTAATTTGTACAAGTGAGGTCGTAAGAATTCGTACGAATTAGCCACCTTGTAAAATATGTATGAATTGCCGTGAGATCAGGTTGGAAAGAATCACTGAATTGTTTACTGAAAGATTTATCCATTAACCCTAAGATTAAACAACTTGTTCAAAACTGGATTTAATCAGTCTGAGAGTTCATTTAATTAAGAATGTGTCACATTATTCTGCTGGTGTGCCCTAGTTGGCCACCAGAGGACACTGTGTTTTGTGAGAGCACATGGCTTGTTGTATGTTTGTTGGTGCCATGTGCTCTCCCGTCTCATTGTCTGACCCCGCCCTTCTTGTTATCTCTTTATTGTTTCAGTTGCTCCACCTGTGTCTCCCTCATTACCCTCCTTTTTTGTCTCCCTATTTATTCTCTTTGTGTCCGCAGTCCTGTGCTGATCCGTTGTTATCTGTCAGAAGTAATTGTTGTATGTGTGGTATGTACCTGCTGTGCTATTCTACTATGCTTTGCTGTGCCTTGTTCCTGGCCTACCTGCCTGTTTTTCCTCCTCAGGGTTTTTGTTCATTTCGTTGGTTTTATTTTATTATTAAAAAGACCCATTCTTCCTGCAGCTTGAGTCCTCGCCTCATCTCTCGTCCAGGACCATGACAGAATGGTTAAAAATGGGAATTTATTACAGCTATTTACAAACATTTATTTGATTAAAACAAGCGAAAAATGTTTCGGTTGAATAACTGAAATTAAATTATGTATAAGATATAAATGCATTAATGACCTAAACATGTAGGCAGCAACATGCATCAAAAACATAACATATAGGAATTTCAGTGTACATATGACTTTACTGGAACATTTTAGTGGGATTTTGTAATATGAATCACTAAAATAATCACTGAATTGTTTTCTGAAAGATTCATTCAGACACATGACTGATCAATTTGTTTATAGAGACAACTCAGTGACTCATTTAACTATCATTTACAGCTTTTTACAAATGTATTTTATTCACCTTTTAGGCATATTATTTAAATGGATTTTAGTATTGTTTAATGTAAATGCAAATAAGTTTAAGTTGCTATGATTCATTAGTAGCCTACTGCTACAACAAAATGAACTGTGGCATAAGCAGTTGCAATAAGCATTCTCATTAATAAAACTTAAAGCAAGCAATATAACTTTATAGGAGTGTTTTAGTGAGTATGAGAGGCATGTACGCCATGATGAAACGTAAAAGAATCATTGAATTGTTTTCTGAACCAATCTCTTGACATGAACAAATGATTCACAGAAATGAATCAGTCCTTATATAAAGATGAAAAGTTGGTGCTTTAATTGGTATCAACAAGAACAAGTTGTTGAAAGTTGAAAATGCATGAGGGATTTTCATCCTTTGTGTTTCGATAAAAGATTACAAAGACCTGGAGCATGTATTAAAGTAAAAAGGGTCTTACGTTGGCTATAAAATCGTCTGTTGTGCGCTTGTTTTAGATGAAGGCTTACAGTTGTCCGTATCAGACGATGTTTATCTGTCTTCGCTATCTCCAGACATAATCGTGTGCTATTGATAGAGGACGGCTTGCAATAAAAAGGCTTTAATGTAGGAGAGGATTCACAGAAATGAATCAGTCCTTATATAAAGATGAAAAGTTTTAATTTTGTTGCTTTAATTGGTATCAACAAGAACAAGTTGTTGAAAGTTGAAAATGCATGAGGGATTTTCATCCTTTGTGTTTCGATAAAAGATTACAAAGACCTGGAGCATGTATTAAAGTAAAAAGGGTCTTACGTTGGCTATAAAATCGTCTGTTGTGCGCTTGTTTTAGATGAAGGCTTACAGTTGTCCGTATCAGACGATGTTTATCTGTCTTCGCTATCTCCAGACATAATCGTGTGCTATTGATAGAGGACGGCTTGCAATAAAAAGGCTTTAATGTAGGAGACGGCACTCAGCAAGCTTCTTTCATTCAATAGCATAATCTATGCCGTATTTTATTGACTCTCTCCCTATGGTTTTGAATGGACAAAACCAAGTGATGGCTTTAAAACTAGCTGTTCTTGTACTGAACAAAGTAAAAAAGTAAGATGGAACAGAAAAAGAAATCACTGACCTCTTCGGTGGCTGGTGCAATTTTAAAATGTGCCCTACATCTTTGCATCAAATCTGTGTTACATGTTCACCCCAATGCATGGAAATGTGGCTCGAAACAGGGGAGCATCTCTCATTTTGCCCATTTGCAAGGGCTGTAGGTTTTCTGAAGGCCTGCTTACCCAACCATAGCATGAGAGGAGCAGAATAAAGACAGAAAATGTCAAAAAGACAGAACGCAGCTTGAGCAATGCCACGTACCAGTGATTCTTAGTGACCCAGCACAGCGCTTTCGAACCTTGAACAAAAAGATGAGGCTGACAAGGCAAAGAGTTTTTTGGATTTGTGCAGCAAGGATGCAATTGTACAAAAACTATACTATTTGTATTTGCATAAAATTCTATTCACAATTATTTATTTATTTATTTATGTATTTATTTTACAGATGCCTGCCACACATTGGATATTGTTGCAAGCATTAAAACACAAAAAAATTTATTAAATCAATATCTTTAGTATTACTATAATTTATTTAGGTGTTTATTAAATAAATGTATTAATATTAGTATTAAAATAAAATGTAAATTAATAAATAACATAACTTGAATTATTTTTACTATTTTTAAATTTTTGTATGTATTGCAAATGGGAAAGGCTTAAATAATTAAATAAATACCTTTAATATTAACATTATTTATTTATGTGATTAATATATTTAATAATGTTACTATTAAAATAAAATGTAAATTAATAAATAGCATTAATATTACAGTTAATTATTTAATTATTTATTGTATACATGCAAATTCAGATGAACGAATGAATTAATGCATTTAATACTAATATTATTTATGTATTTATTTGTTTATTTCATATAGTTAATAATATCAATATTAAAATAAAAAATACAATTAAAACAGTAATATTACAGGTATTTATTTATTTTGAAATTTTATGTCTTTCACATTTGTGTGTCAAGTATCCAATGCCACAGTTCTTCTTTGTGTTCTGTTTGATTGACTTGAGCTGTGTGGGAAGCCTGACACTACAAAAAAGACTGACAAGTGTGTGTTCACAAGTACAAGTCAATTAAAAAACAGTGCGGACTGAACACAAGAGCACATCCTGTGTGAACGGCCCATTAGATGACTTAGTAAAAGTTCTGTTGCCATAGCAATTACAGAGAGGGAGATTTATAATTAATCTCAGGTTTCTCACAGGAGAGTTCGGTGCTGTTGAGGATTCATCTCTAAATATGTATTATTGGCCAAATAACATTAGTGTTTATTCCCTGGAACTTTATAAGCCAGCTCTGTTATTGTTTAATAGTCTCCATCACTGATTGTGTTGTAAGAAAGTAGACAATGATAATGTAATAAATTATTAATATTAAATTATAGCTTTAATGGTGATCTTTATAATGTCATTTTGTTTGAATAAGGCTTGCTAATTGCGCTTCATTTTTTTTTCTGGCTATGGTGAATTAAAGGAGCAGTTCACCCAAAATGTAAATTTTGGCCATCCAAGATGTAG